GGGGAGGGGGGGAGGGACTTTTTCGTGACTCTTCATACCCGACTGCTCCTTTGCTCTAGGCGAGATGACGGTCTTGCAACGTACGCAGGGCGTAGGGTAAGTATTTCGGCCGTGCGCGTCTGAATTCCAGTTTGGTGCCCAACCAGCTGCCGGAAGCAGCACACCTGCCGTCACCAAGCCATGTCATAGGTGCATCCTGGCAACAGAGTCGCGTGGATGTGGGAGTCCTTGATGGTGGCCTCTGAACGCCGGTTCCCTCAAGCCGATGAAGAGCTCCCGTGGGTGGACAGCCCGGCCGTGTATCAGCTCTACTGCCCCCACACGCCCCTCGAGACCCCTTGTTAACGAGCTGCAATGGCGCCAGGCACACCAAATTGCAGAGCGCGTGCTAGGATGCGTGGGCCGGATGCTGCCCCCCTACCTGCAAAGACCCTCTGCGTCTTCTCCTCGAGGCGCCCGTAGCTTGTGGTCACCATTCCTGAAAACGATGTCCATGAGCTCGTCATCTGCGCCGAAAACTACCGGCGCTCGGCATTGCGGCTGTCCTCCAAGTCGTTTGTCACTTGCTTGGTGATCATCGAGGTATGTCCGGGGCCATTGTAGCTTGTGTCCTGCGGCGTCTTTTCGTTCCAACGCTCGCGTGTATGTGTATTCCTGCCGTGCTCGTTCTCGATGCATGGTGCAATCCCGTAGCGTTTGCCCACACATGTCTGAGCGTCGACTTGTTTATGGGCTGTCCGATCCAACACGTACATCGCTCGAGCCCGAGGGACCAACCAATACGTCGTGCGCCCAGCCACTGCTTTGTTCACTGCGCTCCCGATGTATGCCACGTTGTGAAAGTAACATTCTCAAACATGGTCATCACACAAACGCAGGGCTGTGACGAGGCGCAGGGTGATCGGAATCAAAATCAGAATCAGAAGCAGAAGCAGAAGCAGAAGCGGCTGCTTGGGCCCGCGAGGGTGGTGTCCATGACCTCGGCTGGATCTCCTTCTCAATCCCTCATCACCCTGCACCTCGTGACAAATGTCCAGAGTACACTTGCACTTGACACGGTTCAATTGAGTAAGATACAAGGGTGACACATTAAACATGGAGTGTATACCCAATTTTTTTAATCGGGCGACCATCTACACAGACAGACAGACAGACACGGCACGTTAAAGCATGAAGCGTATACCCAACATGGCGGTGGCGGGAGGACAGGAAGCACCCACCATGTGCGAAGGCATGGATATCAAGAAGACGTGCAGGGGGTTGCCGAGCGAGCTCTGATGAGACGAAGAAAATGTCAACGTAGAACTGTACCAAAGTGCGTATCGTGAGGGTGGGTGTCTGGCTCTGAGACGCCGGGCATTCATCTGGGCACCGAGGAGTCGCTTGTTGTTCAACAGCACGCCGGCCAGAAGAGAAATGGCTGGCGCGTCATGTCAACAACAAGCCGTGTGAATCCATCTGCAATTCCACACAAGTACCACAAGCATGTATGCATACATGCAAACTTACACTCGTTCTTGTCCGCGAAGCCTAAGTTGCCAAGCGTTCATGAGCACGATCACAACAAGCACGCACTGGTTAGGGACGGCGTCTCGACCGCGTCACGCCCGTACGTAAACAAACTCCGATGGCATTCCTTGCAGCACGCCCACCTCCTGTTACCCCCGCTGGCGTCCCCTGGGCGCCCTCTGTCTTTGTGTGTGGTTCTCTTGTCTCTGGACCTGACTCACACCCGCATTCTCTCCTCAACCCCCTCCCATCGTCATGGCCGATCGGAGCAAGGGCGACCTGGAGCAAAGCTGGATCCGGCTGCTGGGCGAGGCGCGCCCGGGCGTGCATGTGTTGACGGGCGCGGACCACAACCTGGTGGCCGAGTCTATTGCGGCTGCCGTGGACATCAACGCCATCAACGACGCGGCCACAGGCGTGTGGCGACTCACGGGCTCCTTGCGTGCGAGCTGCTTCCCATCCTGGAACCTCGTAAATGGGAACCGCACCATGGGTCTCGACCCGGAGCAGGCCGTTGCGTGTGCACTGCTCGTGCGCCGCGGCAGTGATGCTGGCGTCGTGGCTCAGAGTCTCTTCGCGCGGAGCGACGCCGGGCTTCCACCCATACCCGATGGCGCGGGGACATGGGTGTGCGGCAGCCCCGTGCTCTTTGCGCCAGAGCTCCACCGCGCCGTGGAGCAGCGCTTGGTCCCGTGCCTGTACGTTCCAGAGCAGACCGCCCGCCCGTTAAACTACTCGTCCGCCATTCTGCACGTGCGCATGTCACGCAGCGATACACCGGCTAGCCACCTCGCCAGCCTGCGAGCACAGCTCGCGGTGCTCAACACCATCCTTACCAGTGACGCCACCGCGGCCCTCGTGCCCCGCGATTGCCCCAAGGACCTTTTTATCGAGACGTGCAGCTCGTTCCTACACGCGGCAGAAGACCGCCTGATACTGAAACAGGTTTTGGATCACGCTCGGGCGAACCCAGGCGGGCTGCTCGTGGTGACTGATCCCGGCCGCATCACGCGTCGCCCCGACGAGCTGCACGTGCTGCTAGAGCGCCCGTTTCTTACCAGCCTGCCGGCTCACGTCTGCGAGTGTCTTGGAGTAAGACAGGAGAGCGGGCTGTGTTACATCGGTCATGAAGTCATTGAGTGTCTTTTGGAACAACGAGTGGCCTTGAGCGTGGCCCATAGCTTCTACGCGGCTAGTCATTACACTCGGAGGCGGATGGCCCAGGCACTGGCGTGTTCAGCCGGGCCTCGGCCGCGTGTGTCCACGGCCGTGGCCAGACCCGTGCTAATTGAACGGTACGCAGCGTTTATCACGTCGGCCTGCGAGGCGACCATGGCGGCCATTCGACCCCCGGTTGCTGCCGAGGCGCCCAGGCTGGTGGTCTTTGCGCGCACCAGCGACTCGACTTCGGTTCGCAGAGCCAATCGTGGCACGAGCGTGTCGGCCCAGGAGCTCATCTTGACCGCTCTTACTAGTGCCGACAACGCGGCCGTCTTCCCGCACGTCTCCATTTCAGAATGCGACGTAGAGCCACCTAGCTTTGCCACCATCCGACAATTGCCCCTGGGCTCCATGCTCGTGGCGCAGAGGTACGCCATGAACACGCGGAATGTATGCGCCGCAACGATGCCTCTCACATGCCTATTCTCGCGCGCGTAGCATTGAACGGCTGGTGCGGCGGCCGGCGCAGCTGCGGGCCCTGGTGGGCCTGGCCCGGGCGCAGCGGGTGGCCGTGGCCGTCCTGAACATATCCCAGTCGCTCCTCACCAAACTCCCGGACCACCTCGTGGCGCGGGCCCTGCCTGAGGCGGGAACCGGCCTCCTATACGATCGCATGAGCGGGGCGCTTCGGCAGTCTCGCCGGTACCCGGCCTCGGCGCGCCGCGTTCCCTTGGCCTTTTGGCTTCTCACGTCGGGGGCAACGGTTGCCGCACCACATGAAGTCGAGTTTCTTGACCTACTGGCCGCGCACGAGATGAAGTTACATTCGTCCTTTGCGGATGCCGGCGCGCTGGGGTGGGGCGTGCCCCCTGCGGCCAGCACCCCTGCTACCGATGCTCCAATCGCGGCACCGGGCGCCCGAGGGTTGACCAAGGCGGCGATCCGGGCTCTGCTGGAGGAACCGGGGTTGACCATTGGCGGCCAGGTGGTCTTTTCGCGTGCGATCAACTATGCCTGCGGGTGTGAGCGCGGGGCGCGGCCACACTGCGCGGCCACGTGCTTGTGCGACTGCGCGTTTTGTCGCCGGGCCAACAAGTCCGTGTGCGCCTGTGTGACACAGCCGGGTCCGGCGGACGGGCAGAGCTGTATCAACGACCCACTTTGCGTGTGCAACTGCACGCACTGCCGGCCCGTGCCGCAGATGACCGACCGATGCACGCTGGCCGACGTGAGATGAGCTGAGATTGTGTTGCGTGCGGGGGTTGTGGTGGTGTAGTCGTTATCTCTCACAGTCCGATGCCCCCCCCCCTTCCCCTCTCTTAGGCGGTGCCGACCGGACACCGCTGCGAAACCGAGGGCTGTGCAGAGATGAGTGTCCGGCGCAGGCTATGCCGAGACTGCTTCCGGGCTTACATGCGGCAATACAATGCCAAGCGGCGGCAAGCTCTCCTCGATCAGGATCAGCCCGTCCTGTACCCGTGCAAGGAGGCGGGCTGCCCCAACCTGCGCCCGAAGGGCACGAGCGCCGGCGCCCGCTGCCAAGATTGCTTCAACGTCTACCAGAGGCCGGCCCAGCGCGCCGCGCGCGCCGCGAAGCGGGCCAAGAGCATGGCCTAGATGGTGAGTGGGTTGCGCTCGATTTTTTTTTTTTTTTAATGTCTGCCGTGACTGACTGTCTGTCTGCCGTGTCGTCTCCTTGCTAGATGTTTTTTTGGGTATATGCTTCATGCTTTAACGTGCCGTGTCTGTCTGTCTGTCTAGATGGTCGATGGTCGCCGATTTTTCTGAAAAAAATTGGTTATATGCTTCATGCTTTAACGTGCCGTGTCTGTCTGTCTGTCTGTCTAGATGGTCGATGGTCGCCGATTTTTCTTGAAAAAAATTGGGTATATGCTTCATGCTTTAACGTGCCGTGTCTGTCTGTCTGTCTGTCTAGATGGTCGATGGTCGCCGATTTTGTTGAAAAAAATTGGGTATATGCTTCATGCTTTAACGTGCCGTGTCTGTCTGTCTGTCTTAGATGGTCGATGGTCGCCGATTTTGTTGAAAAAAATTGGGTATATGCTTCATGCTTTAACGTGCCGTGTCTGTCTGTCTGTCTGTCTAGATGGTCGATGGTCGCCGATTTTGTTGAAAAAATTGGGTATATGCTTCATGCTTTAACGTGCCGTGTCTGTCTGTCTGTCTAGATGGTCGATGGTCGCCGATTTTCTTGAAAAAAATTGGGTATATGCTTCATGCTTTAACGTGCCGTGTCTGTCTGTCTGTCTGTCTAGCATCATCAGACCAGCTCAAGCCAAGCCGCCTACGGCGTCAATAAGGTAGGGTTTCCCTCTGGGGGTTCCCAATAGATTAATCTCTCTTGAGTGTAAAGGATGGATGTTAGCGTCAAATCCGTGCTTCCACGCATTTGAACACTCCCACTGCTTTCGCACACACTCAGCATCGGTCGCTATGGGTCTTCCTATTGGTATTCCATAGCTACGACGACCTCACACATTGACACCTACTTTTGGACCCCCTGGGCTTGATCCTCCTCGTGGCAGTCACATGAGTAAACACCGCGTGTGACGCGGTCCCCACGATGCCTGGGCAGCTGCCCTGGGGCAATAAGCTTGTGGCTACTGTTGTTTCCCTTTGTTGTGACACCTGCGGTCGGGCACGAGTTGCACTTTCCCTATCCTCGGGATTGAGCGACTCTACAGCTATTCTAACGGTGCACCTGGTCTGGTCACTGTGAATGCTTGCCGACCGCAGGTACGTCAAGCCCTCTGCCATTCTGTCTTCCCCTTGCTCTCCTGTGTGCTCTGCTCTCTTGTGACTTTCCCTATCCTCGGGATTGAGCGACTCTACAGCTATTCTAACGGTGCACCTGGTCTGGTCACTGTGAATGCTTGCCGACCGCAGCTGGTTCAATTGACCTCAAGACACCACCAAAGCTTTCGCTCCGCTCCGACGGACGTCTCTCAAACCTCTCTCAAAACGCTTCCTCAAACCTACGCGCTTCCTCGCAACCCAAAGACGGCCTCCAGACGTGCTGGAGCCTGACATGGTAGCGATTGAAAACTTCGATCGACCGACCGCCCTTCTTCAATCTTTGCGCTGGATAGCATGTCCTC